CTGAAGGGTCCCAGGTTCAATTCCAGCCAAGGGCATGTGCCTTGGTTGCAGGCTTGGTCCTTGGCCCCGGTTGGGAGGCAACCATGTTTCTCTTTCCCTTCCACTCTCTCTGAAAAGCAATGGGAAAAAATGTCCTTGGTTGAAGATTTAAAAAAAGAAAATGAAAGAGAAATAACTGTGAGGAAGCTAGGACTGATAGTGACTCAAGGAAGGAAATGAGGAAGAGTCAAAACAGTCTAAGTCCCATAGGACTGCCCCAGCCACCAAGGCAGTCTTATTTCCTGTTATTCCTGTTCCAGTTCCACCAGTTATTGGCTGCAGTAACTTGGGCAAATGACTTAAACCTCTCTTTGCCTCAGTTTCCTCATCTGTAATACAATCTCATAGAGTTATTGTGAGGATTAAATGAGAATGCATATACAATGCCAGAACAGGGCCTGGCATGTCATAAATTATCAGGAAACATTAGCTATGTTTAGTTGCACTTCCCCACCTTCTGCTCTAGTCAACTTGCCCATCTTCACCCCAGATTCCAAGTCCTTGCTCATGTTGTTACTTCTGCCTAAAATGCCCTTTCTGGTCTCCTCCACCTACACATGCTTCAACATCCTATTTCTCCACAAAGCCTTCTCTGTACTAATATGACATTTACCACCCATTTAATTCACCATGATTGAATAACAGTGTTGCTGTGGGAGTTAACCACCTTATACCTTTAGGTCTACTCCTCCAGGGGAAGAAGCTATTTCCTAATGTTTTGTGTGTTTTTCAGTGTCTTATACGGTCCTACACTGCAGATGTTCAGTAAATCCTGCCTAATGAAAAAAGGGTAGGGAAGTCTGGATTCTGAGCAATAGACAGGTCACCTGGACCTTGAAGCAGTAGTTCTCAACTCTGGTTTACCAGGATGTAGAGAGGTCTTGCCAGGATTATCACAAAATGCTCTGTAAATTCTTGAAACCAGAGTACTTTTATCCCTAACTGGTTTGGCTCAGTGGTTAGAGCGTCTGCCTGCGGACTGAAGGGCCCCAGGTTCTGTTCAGGCCAAGGGCGTGTACCTCAGTTGCAGGCTCAATCCCCAGCCCTGGTGGCGGCAGGTGCAGGAGGCAATCAATCGATGTGTCTCTCACATGGATGTTTCTATCTCTCTTTCCCTTCCACTCTCTCTGAAAAGCAATGGAAAAAATATCCTCAGGTGAGGATTAAAAAAAAAAAAGACTTTTAATTATACTTTAGTTCTAAAACAAACCCAAATGTGTCACACAGCACCTTCTGAAGGGAGAAGTGTTATGAAATAAAATAATTATAGGGGCAACAACTCCACCCCCCAAAACTTTGGGAACCACTGATAATGCTGCTAGAGGGGCGTAAGGAGAGAAGCAGAGCAATTAGGAACAGCCAAGGTAGTGAGATATGGATGCAGAGCACAGAATACATTTACTGAGGGCCTGCGCCACACTAGGCACATACACTGATCTTGTCAATAGTTTTCTCAGGGAGGTATCATTGTCCCCCAGTTGGCCTGACTTCCAAGCCATGCCCTTTCCCCAATCTTCACTGCCTGTTCTGTTGATGAAAAGAGGTATTGCAATTGGAGATGTTGTGTAGCCAAGTGAATATGCCTTCTGGGCCAGCTTCCTGGAGGTGGTACACTTTGCTGCTTGTGGGCAGGTGATGGGTATTGTTTGTTTGTTTTGTTTTAGGAAGCTGGAGGGCCTCCAGAGGACATGGATAATGAGGGGTGGAAGTGGGGTGGAAGGGGTGTGTATGTGAGAGAGAGGGAGATGAGCCTCAGGCCTGGGCTGACAGGATGTAGTTTAAGGGAAACCTTGTCCCAAAATATCTCCCTACCCAATTTCTTCTTCTTTAAAATATATTTTATTGATTTCAGAGAGAGGAAGGGAGAGGGAAAGAGAGATCAAATGATGAGAATCCTTGATAAGCTGCTTTCCTGCACACCCCTCATCCCCCACTGGGGACCAAGCTTGCAACCGGGCATGTGCCCTGACTGGGAATCGAGCTGTGGTCTCCTGGATCATAGGTTCATGCTCAATGTCTGAGCCATGCCGGCCAACTTCCTAAGGTGCTAGGAATCAGCACCATTATGGTTTTATAACTTAAGAGCTTGTTTTCAGCAAGCAGTTAAGATATATGCATTACCTGGGAAAGGTAGCAAAAATAAGGGGCATCCACATAGGAAGACCACTTAATCAGATTAGTCATCACCTGAAGTGATGTGACTGGAGGGCATCAGTATCTGATGGAAGGCAACAAGGGCAGGTTTAAAAACAAAGTAGAGCCCAGCCGGGCGTGGCTCAGCGGTTGAGCATCCAGCTAGGATCCAGGCGATCAGGGTTTGATTCCCGGTCAGGGCACATGCCCGGGTTGTGGGTTGCAGCCGATCAATGACTCTCTCATCATTGATGTTTCTAGCTCTCTCTCTCCCTCTCCTTTCCTCTCTCTGAAATCAATAAAGATATATTTTTTAAAAATAAAATAAAATAAAAACAAAGTAGGGAAGGTCCACAGCTTGAAGTGCATTTCTGAGGTGGCAATATACACCTGGTGTGGATTGAGGGAAGGTTGGTGGAAGGCATTAATGGTTAACAGCCACTTCTAAATGTTGCCTTTATCAAGCACCACCTGCAAACCTAAGTATGCTTTCACCTCCAGACATTGACTCAAGGGTCACAAGGTTGAAGGAGATGAAGGGGCAACTTGGATGCGCATGGAAACCTGTACTGCTACAGGCTACAACTATACCTGTAACTTCCATGAGCCACAGAGCTAAATCAGGCATGAGAGATGCTTTAATGTAGCAGTTTGGAAGGTCATTCTCAAAGACGGGCAGGTGGGATCCTCGCCAGCCCCTGACACCTGTGACTCAGCCCTGGCAGCTTAACAAACCCCAAGCCTCAGGTACCATCTCTCGCCTCCTGCAAAAAGGCTCCTTTGCGCAGGTCTAGTTCACCCATTCCAGGGGTGCAGGGGTAATTTCCGACTGCGCGGGAGGTCAGCACTCCTAATGGTGGCATTGATTCAAGGGTCAGTCCTTTCATTTGGTCTAGAAGGGAACTGGTCCTGAAGACCACCAGAGGGCGGTGTGCAGCAAGGGCCTGGCTTCTGGGAGGGCACAGCTGCTACGGAGAGAAGGGTCGGCTACCCCGGGTACCACC